CCCCGCCCGGCGCCAGGGACGGCCCGCAGCCTCCCCGGCGGCGCCTCGCCTGCTCGTGGCTCGGCCGTGTTAACGGGGCTCGGAGGCCCCGGCACCGGTATCTCCCCCGCGGCCGCGCTCCCGAGAGCCCCTCTGGTTCCCAGCGGGGTCAGGCAGCTCCGAGGCTTCGGGAGCCACGCGTTGCATCTCCACGTACCCGAGTTTGTGGGTGTTTTGATGGTCCCCGAAGTAACGCGGCACCTGCCTCTCGCTCTGGACCGGAGCCCTTTGGTGAGCGCTGGCCCGGCATCAGGTCCGATGCCTGTCCAGGCCGTGCCCCTCTGGGGTTTAATCCAGGTATTGGTGGTTCTCTTGCGTAACTTGGTGTCCAGGTGAGGCAGGGGACCGTTGCAGAGATTTCTACATAAAACGTTGAGGCAACAAGTTGTTGCTGCAGGTTTATAAGCTCCTTGAAGCAGAGGCTATCTCTGTTCTGTGGTATGGAGCTTAGCTGAGTAAGACTTTAGTCCAAGACTCAGCGCAGGCACTTGTTGCAGTAAAAGCAGTGATTTACTGACAGTTGTGTACAGTGGAACTGGGGCTACTGGTCTGTAAAGCTAAACAAACTGTGCTTTCCTGAGGTGAACCTCCACTTTTCTCTGTCTCTCTAGCATCTGGTCATCCTGTTAAGAAAGGAAAAAAGTAGTTAGGAGAGAGAACTGTTAGTTCGCATCAGGTACTAACGCTCGTTTACATTTTTACTCAGGACTAAATGGCAAGCAAATGGACTGTTTGAAGCACTGGGTTTGATCGTCTAAGAGGAGGGACTCTGCTGAGGATAACCCACAGGGAATCTGTTGGGTATCTCTGTAATCTCAGGCTCTTCCCTGATATGGAACAAAGTGCAGGTGAACAGGAATCCCAGCCAGAGAGTCATGTGGATAGCAAGAGCAGCGTGAAATCCTTGCCTGGGGGAGCGGCCCATGTCAAACTGGAAATAAAAAAACATGCAGTTACTGATGACTACAAACTCTCCAAACGGGTGCTAGGGTTAGGAATCAATGGCAAAGTACTGGAGTGTTTCAACAAGGAGACAGGCCAGAAATGTGCTTTGAAGGTATGTAGGCTTTTTTTTTTTTCTCCCCTTTTGATGTCGAGGCCAGAGTTCACTTCCAATACCCTGTAAAAGCTACTTGTTCTGTTGCTTACATTTCACAGTGCTGTATGAATAATTTGAATATGTGGAAACATTTGCTATTGCTTATAACACTGTAGTGCAAACTTGAGTCTTTTCCAGAATATTCTGAGTTTCCAGAAGAATGTTATCAGCTGTGAAGTTCTCGTGTTCATATTTAAAAGACAGAAAAGCGGGGGAAAAAACAGTGTCTTAGTGTGTTCTGTGAAAAAGCTTGCTAGATTTTGAATGAACCTATTACACAGTGTTTGGGAAGGAAACTATTCTTGATCTCGTGCAATGAAAGAGGCCTAAACTGGGAAGGATTTAAATGTTCATTGGTCTTTAGGCTTTCCTCCCTTTGAAGACTTTTCTTAAGTGGCATTTCCAGTTGTTTATTCACTTACTCTCTTTATTTTTGTGATCCATTTACAGAAGGGTATTACTCGGGAAAACACTGATTATACCAGTATGGCAAGTAAGTTTAGTAAATATTTATGGTCATAAGTACTACTTAAGTAAATGTAGCAGTAACCATTCATTAGAGAACATAAAGCTTACCTGCCTTTTGCTCTGCAGCTTTTAAACTTGAAGATTCCCCTGATGCTTTTAAACCACATTGTTAGAAAAAAAGCAGCCCAAATGAGAACCAGGATGGTTCTGTATGGTAAGACTGAAAACCAGCTGAAGTAATTGTCATTTACTTAAGAATGTTACCAAGTCCTTGCTGGTGTTAATCCGATTAGTTGTGATGTCTAGAAGGCTTTCATGTACCCTTCCTTTTCTTAAACCTCACACTCCATGTTTGCTGACAGCAGGATGTTGGCTGCTAGTGGTCAGCTGGAAGGTCTGCCAAGGGCTGGGTATGGTCTTACCTTTGCTAAGTAGAACTGCTGTCCCCAGCAAAGCCTTTGCGCTTTGACAGAGCAGACTGGAAATATCTAGTGGCTTTGTGTATTGAAAATATTTTTAATAGAAGAACTAGAAAAGCTTATAATACAATAACGATGATATAATTCACATTTCCAACACACTCATTTTCTTTATCACACTGTTTTTTGAATTAGCTGACTCAGAAATTTATCATGGGGAAACTGGAGGTTTTGGCAGACTTGGATGTACTGGGGTTTTGTGCCTGCATAGAGGAGTGTCAGGTTTTTACAACTCTGAGGTGATCCATTAATCAGATCCTTCTGAAGTGCTATCAACATTAATTTCTATACTTAGCATACTGTGATGAAGGATAATAGTTAATATGAAGCTGTTCTGCTGTTTCTGAATAGTTCAGCAGCTTTGTTGCTGATTATAGACCATTCATACTTCAAAAGGTTTTGCAGTCTAAAGGCCTGGAAGCATTTTAAAATAGAAGTTGCCATTTCAGAGCACAATCCAGGGGCAACAGGTGTGTTCCAGAGCAAATTCTGTAGCTCAGGAATCAAATATGAAATGCATTACTATGGATACTAGCATCTGTAAATTATTTTTTTTTTTATTCAGTGCTCAGAGTTGGGAGGGGGAGAAGAAAAGTAAAGTTGCTGTGCCCTGACAGTGTCCTCTGCCTGATGGGGAGGAGGAAGCTATAGTAGGGCATCCAATACCAGTTTCTGATTGAGTTGGCTGATTTTTTCAGAACTTTAAAAAATATATTAAGGACCAAAACACCACCCCCCTTCCCAAGCTGGAGTTTTGTCATTAATGGCTAATATATCACTGAAATTATGCTTTATATGTGTTTGTCATCCTCCCCTCCCCAGCTGTGGAATGTGTGCACTTTTCTTCTGAAAGGAACAGAAATATTAAGATGTTTATGAGTTCTCTAGGGAGTTTAAATGGCAGATAATAGTTTGCTGCTTGCATGTATGTATTTCTTATCATTATGAGTTTAAGTGCTGAATAAAAAGTTAAATATGCAATTAAGTAAAACTGCCAGCAGCCCAGAGAGAATCCGCTATTCTCTCCAAAGATGGTCTAATGAGAAGATTACCCAACAAGGAAGGATAAAAACTATGCTTGGTTAATTGGCAAGAATAGAACGATCTTTTCCTAGCCCTGAAGATATTTGCAAGGATTAAAATATTCAGAGGAAGTTTTTTCATTGTTTTTTGTGAAACCTGAACTGGGCCATGCAAATCCCAAACCTGCTCCAGATGAAACTTCAGAGCAAACCATCCAGTCAAAACAGTTATGGAAAAGGGATGAGAAACTTGGAAAAAATGTTCAGATACAGCTTCAGTGCAGAATTCTCTTTGTAGGGACAGTAGGGTCTCAGCACTCTGCCTTGTCACTGCTCATACATCCTAGGTGTGATGGCGGGGTTATCATTCGCTTACAGGAATAGAAAGTGGAGGCTGATGAGGCTGTCACAGAAAAAACCCAACTGGTCTGACAGGTAAAGAGAAATGTAAAGATTGAATTGCAAGTTGAACAGGAAAAAAGGGTTACTGGCTGGATTCTTTTTCTAGTGGTTTCTTGTGCAGTATCCATTGAGATCTATGTGTATTTGTGAACAAATACTTCAGGTGTGAGTGTGCTCACTGTAATCTACTCCTGGGAAAGGAAAAACATCATTGCTGCTGCTGAAGATAAAGCATATTAGTCTGTTCCCCTTCACACCAAATTTGCCCATTAAAGCAGCTTCTGACTTGGCAGATGGCACTGCTTTGTGCCTGCAGGTTTTCTCTTATATGGGAACAAAGCCAGCACAGCCAGGATCTGGATAGAAATTACTCAATGGAAGGAATTTTAACTGAGGTACTCTGGAGGAAAGGACTGGAACAGGCAGAAACATTCATCTGCAGAGCCATGTGTCAGTCAAGCACTACATACTGTAATTGGGAGGTCCCTGTTGTCCTCTTTAGTCTGTGTCCGTAATTGGAACTAGTTAGAATGTCACTAATCATTTTAGAGTGGGAAAACACAAGATATCCTCTCAGAGATACTGCAGGGCTTTGGTTATTTTCCTGAAGTATTATGTGGCTTAGTTTACTCTGCCTGGCATTGTGATTTGCTACACGCTTGTACAATGTGCTGTCAGCTTTGTTTCCGTTAGATTGAAATGCCACACGCATTGCTGTCCTGCTTCAGAAAATCTAATCTGGTTACTCACTTAAACACATAATGACATTTTGGCTGAACAGCACTGTTTTCAACTAGTGAGAATGCAGGGATTTAGAAAAGTAGAAGCATAAACAAAACTGCTGTGCAGGACTGTGGCCTTCTAGAAGGCAACTATGTTTTAGTCTCTCTTCCTTACAAATAGAAAACCTTCTCAGATCTCTCTCCATAGTTGATCCAGAAATAGTGTCAAGTGAAGTCTAGTCACTCTTCTATATTTATCTTTTCTTTGCCAGTTTGCCCTCTTCTATTCACTTTATCTTTGGGGCTAAAATTTAACCTCTAATTTTTTAACACTGCCATCAGCTTGAGTGTTCTCTGATATTTTTAACGCTCCTCCCTGGTTTTAGGAGAGGAGGCGGCCAAAATAGCTGCCTACCTGTGAGGATAAACGTGGACTCCTGGGACTTGCCTCCCATTAAAAAAAACCCCAACCTACAGTTCCTTTTTTGTTCTTTCTTCCTTTTTCCCCCCCTCTTCCCCCCCCCCCCCC